TGTGGGTGTGTCTGTCTGTGTGTCTGTCTGTGTGTCTGTCTGTGTCTCTGTGTGTCTGTGTGTGTGTCTGTCTGTCTGTCTGTGTGTGTGTCTGTCTGTCTGTCTGTCTGTCTGTCTGTGTTTTTTCTAGCATGCGTTTGTCGCTTTTGTCGCACGTACGTACCAAGCGAGTGCCTTGAAGATGTGTGCCTCTATGCCGTGACAGTGCGGTGTCTGCCTGCCTGCCTGTGAGGGTGTGTCATATAAAGGGGCACAATTGTCTCGCTATGCCTGTCTCGCTATGTGTTTGTCTGTCTGGTGCGTGTATGTTGACCGACTGACGATGCATGTGGCGATTTGCTGTTTGCCTGCCTGCCCGTCTTGCCATATGCGTGCAGTGCGTTTGTGCCCGTCTGTCTGTCTGTTTGACTGTTTGGTACATTTGTGCTGACCGACTGACTGCATAGATGCATTTCCTGGATCCAATGGACGATGGTCAACTGCATCTGCGTCCACTTCCCTCGCAAAAATCAACCTCTGAGTTTAGGGTTAGGGCTGTCGGGTTTGGTTGTCTGAACCCAGCAAAACCCCACTCACCACACACCTCCCGGAGCCCTGCGACTTTAGAATTTGGATTGATTCCAGTCGGAATCCAAAGCGCACAAATCCCAAAAACCTCCCGACACTCCTGCAGAAAATCAAACATCTGCGTGTAGGGTTAGGGTTGTCGTGTTAGGTCTAAACCCTAAACCCTACACCACACGAGTACCGCGCGAAACGCCTCAAGGGTCCCCCTCCGCCAAAAAGATCTCACGTGAGCCACACACGTCGACCCAGTGACTGTTCTACAGGCGACATCACATCACTCACCACACCATACACCCTACTCATCACCACACTAGACCCCACAGCGAGAGTCTTTCCGTCAGCCACTCCCCGCTCCTCGCTGTCTGTTTCACGATAGACGGGCAATAATCCCTGTCTATCGTGCGTCTCTATCCAGACAGACACAGAGAGAAGGCCCCCTCGTATCAAGATGATAGATGATAGATTGATGGGACCATACAGACAGCGAATTTTAAGGGCCATCTGTATGAATGCATATAAAGCAGCGTACGTGTTGGCGCTATCAAGCACTTCATTTGAACTTGCGGTTCGCTCGCTATCATCACTTCTTTCACATATCGGGGATCCTATGTGGTGTCTCATCCTTCAGGCCGGAGATGGCCATGTGGAGAAATGTGAGTGCAAGTATGAGAGAGAGCACGACAAGAGCTTTATTTTGCGCCGGTGAAACTCGATTTTTTAGAGCCACTTTTGCTCTTAATCCTGAAGCGCCGGGCGACTGCACGATGGATGAGCCGTGTGGTGGTGTGCGGGGTGGAATATCATATGGCTTTCGATGGGTCTGCCTGATCGTGTGTGTCACCTGCGGCCGGCAATCCACGTGACTTGATGTATAATCCATCCGAGTCGTGATGTCATCTGCTGACTGACAAGCCCACACCATGCACAGCAATATCAGGAATCATATATATCGTGCCAATAGGCACTGGCCGCACCGACCGGGGAAAAAACCAATCTCAGCCGACGTGTCGGCACACGAGGTCCCAAACACATGAAGGAACCGGGCCTTCAAAAAAGTGGCTGGCTCACTGGCACATCCGCAGATAAAGATGAATGCCAGCCCGACGACCCATGCATCACTCACTAGCCACTCGAGCGGCCATACAGACAGACAGGCCGAGTAAGAGCCCGGCGCGCGTGTACATATCATTCATGTCATGTCATGGGCTGTGGGCTTGCACGATGCCATTCATGTGTGCATCGGTAGAGAGACAGCCAGCAGAGATGTCGGACGAGGGAGACGATGAGGACTGTCAAATGAGTGGCAGGCAGCTCATAATATGTAATATTCTGCCGCCGCCATGTGATCGCAAGGGGGTATGTGCGCATATATTCGGAAAAATGTGCATCTTCTCGCCGTCTCAGGGCGATGGAAAATCGAAATATATCCCCCAGCCAGCCACCTCGCCCCCTCCAAGACCCTGTCGGGCCATCCATCACCCACCTTAATCGACGGACATCTCTTACACCCATACCGACCGACTACGGACACCAGAGCAGCTATGGTATGGAAGACAGTCAGCCATCAGCCACCGATACAAATACACTTACATGTAGACAGACTTACACGCACACACACATTACACACCACGTCATATCTCGCCTAACTAGCGATGGAAATCAGCACCCATGCACACACGAGTGGCAGGCACCATGCTCGGTGTCGCGGCGCTTCCGTCCGTCAAGAGGACGTCTGAAAATCCCCGGACACTCTTGCCATTCACGCCAAGCACACAGCCGCACACACGTAGGCATCAATGAACGACACACAACACAACACGGAGCAAAGAAGCACAACACATCGCTCACAGACAGAGGCGCACACAGGTGTAGATGGCAAGGCAGTCCATGGAGTCCCGCCGATTTGCCCGCCCGAGTCAGTCGAGTAGCCTCTGTATCTCAAGAGAGAAACAGCGGCCGGTGGAGAGGAGAAAATTAAGACGCGTCACACCAGGCGGCACATCCTACCCAGACAGCCACGGGAGGGCATACCCACAACACACAACAACACCGCACACAATCGCGCAGACATGTACACGCACGCACACACACACACACAGAGAGAGAGAGAGAGACGTAGAGAAAAGGAATAAGGGTGAGGGACAGAGGGGGAGAGAGGTGGTTAGTCCACACCACACATTGAGCTTTCTACACATGATGCCCTCCGCCACAGCATGCAACACGCTCATCGCCGTCTCCCTGTTCCGCTGCCCTGGCCACCGGTTTGTGTAGTCTTGATGCGTCTGCCTGTCGCATCTATCTCTGTGTTGCGTCAGTCATGTGCAGCAGCGACGCACAACACAACAAACACACACACGAAGGAATACGGCCCCCATTCCCCCGCACCCACGAAGGTCAGAAGGAGAAAGGTCCAGGGCGGGCCCACTAATGAATGCCTCATCATCACGCAACCGATAAAGTCTTAGAGCCGTAGTGACGGGGGCGGGCAGGAGGACACATAAAGGGGTGCGCCACGCCGGCCCGCGTCAGCCATCTGGACGTACATGAATCGAAAAAGATAACAATACTGTATGGCGGGGGGCCTGGATGTGCCCCTCTCCTCAGCCATAGAAGGCCAGGAGAACCAGACTGAGCGCCATCACAGCCATGCCCACCAACACGATGTCAGAGGATAGGTAGTCCTGACACAATCACACGAGCACACCCCCACATGTGCGGCTAGTTTCTCACTCACTTCGCCTGTCTGTCTCTTCTCGTCTCACCGCCCCCGTTGGGACTGTGTGTGCTGCATTCGCATGTGTATGTGTGTGCTGTGCGTGCGTACGTGTGGGTCGTATCGCAGGGCGGTCGGGATGAGTTTCTTGATGCAGATGTGGATCATGATGCCGCCCACGAGGCAGAAGAGAATGGCGAATGCGCTGGGCGTCTGAGTGGGGAACGAGAGCGGGGGCCGTATTCACTCGTGTGGGTGTGCGTGTGGGCCTTTGTGATTGTGTTTGCGCTGGGTGTCTCTCACCATCAGGTTTGTGAGTACGACCCACGCCAACAAACCGCCAACCGGCTCCGCAGCGCCACACAGCACAGACCACCCTGCAGGACACACACACATACACATACACAGACACGCATGCATTCCTCCGTCTCACTGTCGTCTGTGTGCACACCTAAGTTGCTTACAGAATGCCTTGCATTTGCTGCCTGTGGCGTAGAAGATCGGGACACTCACGGCAATGCCCTCAGGGATGTTGTGGATGGCAATTGCAACGGCCACGCCTGCAGGCGCGCCCGCACACACGAGACCAGTGGGTTGTTGTATACGGCAACGGCTTTCCTTTATCGGATCGGCACATACCGAGCCCGATTATGGGGTCTGCGAGGGCAGCAGTGAAGGTGGCGATGCCCTCGGGGAAGTTGTACATGGCCAGAGCCATCCCGGAGAAGATGCCCAGGTTCTGCAGGGCAGGCCGGTCGGCCTCCCACTGCTTCTCCACGGGCACCTCCTGCGCCGATGTGCCGTCCTCCTTGGTGTAATCAATGCGATGCGATCCTCGGCAGACACCAAGCGCAGACGAGATCTTCTCATCAGACTCGTTGATCTGATGACCCACGGAGCGGAAAAGAGTCCACCTCATAACTGTTCAAGAAAAAAAGTGGAATGCACCCGCTCGGGAAAAGCAAAGCACTTTGCGTTTTACGGCAGCGGACACGTGCGCGCATCTGTGAACGGCTTGCAGCAAGATCCCGAGGCTCAGACAGTATGGTGGCGTTGAGGTGAGAAAGCATTCACTCAATGCCCACTCGCAAGCAATATTGCTCGTAAGTCTGCGTGCTGGTGTTTGCAGCTTCCGCCTTCTGCTTGTTTCTGTCGTCCTGTCGCCCCTGCTGACATGTGGCGCCTTCATCCGGCCCGCCCACGCCCGTTTGACCCACGCGTCTTCACATGCACTGGACCGACAGAGAATGCGGCCACTGACTGCCGTCGAAATCACTGCCATCGGCCTGACATCGCGGAATGCGGTTGCGGCGTGCCTGGGCGGGACGTTTGCCCTCCTGATCAATGGCTATGTTCAAGCTAACAAGCAGGGCGTTGCCTGGGCGCTCGGGTGGACCATTGGCATGATGCAAGCCAAGTTCCTGGACAACGTCGTGCCTGTGTTGGCCCAGTACTCGCGCGCCATTGACAATGAGTGAGCAGATCGTTTCCCACGGAACTGCCCTGGCTGCATAATTATGCAAAGGATGTTGTATGCCTCTGTTTCTCTCTCCGCGCGCGCGTGTGCAGTTTGAGTGTGTCGGATCTGCTCATACGGCTGGCGAGTGTCGAGGTGGATGACCACGATTTTGCGCGTTTCGCCAGGACGATGGTGTGGACACTGGTGGCGCTGCCATGGGTGGTCCTCTGGACAGGACCTCGCGTCAAGAAAGATCGCGCCTGAATGAACACGAAAAGACTGCATGGTGGTGTTGTTTGGGAGTCGGATGTGCGTGCATGACAACCTCAGGCAGCTGTGGGTCGTGAGAGGATTTTGTATGTCTGTAGGTGGTCTGATTCCTTAGATAGGCGTTTCGCTGACACGAGATCATGCAACAGACAGGGAGGATTGGGCATGTGTGTGGGGGGGCCTTGTGGCGAGAGGAGTTTATGTATAGTGCATCGATCGAGGCAGATGCACACTGACTTGTTGGGTTTCTTCCCCCTTTTTTGTCGTCTTGGGTGCAGTTTCCCCTATGTCACGGGTTTCTCAGTCGGGACACATGCATGAATTGAATTTGCCTGTCAGACATGGATGGACCCGGGGTATGATCCTTCGCCCATGCAATGACTTGCCTGCCTGCCTACCTACCTACAGAGGTACACCCACAAATATGACACGCACCGGTCATGATCGCCTAAATTGTCGTGTCATCACGTGCACTCATAGACAGATACACTGGAGCGATCTCTTTCTCTCTCCTCTCTTGAGTAACGTACGCCTGAAAAGGACACACAGTACACAGACACACAATCAGAAGCAGCTGGGCGCCAAATCAATTTGTGCATTGTTTGTGCGGCGGTCGGTCATGCAGCCACTCCATGGATCGGTCAGTCAGCCACTGTGAAATGACAATGACAGCAGTTTGCATGCGTGTCTGGAGCTCACACACAGCATCACTCCTTCACCATTGACGGCATGGGCTGGTGAGTGGCTGTACTGACTATCCGCGACCAACCACATCGTGCCCATCGAAGGACGACACTACCGCCGCACAAAAGGGGTAGTATGGGCCACATACAAGTGTACTGACGTCTCACCCGCGAGAAATCTGCCCCGTTCTCTCTCTCTCTCTCTCTGTGTGTGTGTGTGTGTGTGTGTCATGGCTGTCTCAGTTGCTGAAGCGAGGTAGCACATTGAGAAGGGGTGGCTCTCCGGGAGGGACGTCAAGCCACGCAACTACTACTGCTTCTTCATCACGCGACGGTCACCTTGCATCCCGTCGTTCCACCGTGCCGTCAGGTCCCGCGTGCAGTTCGAGCTGCTACGGAAGCATCGTGCAGTACCACTTGTCTGTCTCATCACCCACACCTCCCCCCACCACACCCCCGAGCCGCCACAAAGCTCTCCCCCGACCTGCGCGTCACCGTCAGGCCAGAAAACGACTCTGCATCAGTGGGGTGTATGCCGAGCATCCTGTCAAAGTCGTTCTTGGTCGCCCCCAGCCGCAGCGCCAGGGCAAATCCCTGCGTCACCTCACCCGCATTGCGCCCGACGTAGTGGAAGCCACCACTCTGTTGTCCTCGTTTCTGAAACAGACGAGCTTGGAGAGGTTGCTGGCCGATAGGAAGATGTCGAACTCGTCTGAGCGGGCCGTGGCGACTTTTGGCGGTGCACCCCTGACAGCTCAAGGTTCTCAAACTGAGCAAGGGGGCAGATGAGTGAGCGAGACAGGGCTGGCGGATGTGTGTGGGCGGTCTGTACCTCTAGCAGGAACGTTTCGATTGCGTCCTTGCCGTATTTTTTCTCGGCTTGTTCCTCTGAGAGGCCAACGGAACCGTACTCGAAAGGCCTAGACACAGAAAGGAACGTGCTGCCTCTCCGTCTGTCAGCCTGGATGAGTCTCTCACGTGAAGACGGTTGTGGGCACCATCTCATAGTCCATCTTCTCCGTCGACCCCCCATACAGCCGCCTGACACGTGAACGATAGAGGCCACACTACCATCCTCCTGTCTGTGTCTCTCGTGCCCTTACCTTGCCAACAGCTCGCCAGCCCTGACGGCCACCGGTGTGAGTTCTAGCTGCGGGATGCAGTCGCCCACGGCATAGACGTTCGGAACGCTCGTCTGCTCCACATCGTTGACGGCTATTTTGCTCGTCTGGGCGTCATATTTCACACCAACAGCGTCCAGAACTAATCGACAAATCGATGAACGAGGGAGGAAAGGATCCGGGGTAGGTTACCTACCAAGACTGGCTGTTTCGGGCGTCCTGCCGATGGCGAAGACGACAGTGTTGTACACCTGAAAGGCGGAGAGGGAAAGAGAATGTCTATCGTACGCGCAGCACGTCAGGCTCAGCAGGAGCATACCTCCGTCACGATATTGCCATCACGGCTTCTCAATTCAACTTCCAAGGACGGCAGCCCGCTCTCATCTGGTTGCCTGACAGGGACACATACACACCGTCCGTAGGAACACCCACAATTACTGTGTGCGTTGGTTGCTCACTTTTTGGTGATGCTGACAACGGTGACTGAGTACATGAACCGCACCCCCACCTCGGCCATGAGCTGAGCTATTTTCTCTGCGCACTGCCGATCAAACCCACGGAGGACAACCGACCGCACGGCCACGCTCACATCAAACTGCAACCACACACACCCCTTTGTTCGCCTTCGCATCTGGTCGTCTATCTGTGTTGCTTACGTTGATTTCGTTGAGGAATCCCGCTGTCTCGAGAGCGATGTACCCGGCTCCCACCACGAGTGTGCGGCCCGGCGGTCGA